CACTCTTTCTAACACACTCCTTTATTCTCTTCCTTGTGACCACGAGTTCTCTCTCCAAGCCCAGCCTAGTTATTTGTGCATGAAGCTGCCATGTCATGTATTGGTGTGAGTCTGGTGTTCACATGAGCTGTGAATATGCTGCACATGTGTATTTCTTGTGCATTCTGAGCTTTCCTATGGTCAAGTTAACTGTCGTTCTGCCTTCTAATGAATCACCAAGAGAGAACTAGACCTGGTAAGATTTCCTGTTAGCAACAAATTATGCAACTATCAATGTGACACTGAATTAGTTTGCAATGTGCCTATCTGTCCAAGCCTCAAGACTAGAAAGGATTGGGACTCTGAATTTCCTCCTCAATGAGGTGATTCACTGTAACATTTGAGTTCATACTTTGCACAGAAACCAGTAAGTCATACAATGGTGCACACAAACTCTGCTGCCTTGGTGTACAAGGCAGTTCCCGCACCACCCCAGCAGAGCTGCGGTAACTCGAGTCTCTTGATTGCCACTTTGCAGAACATCACTCATCTGGCAAGGATACATCTTCAAAAAGCTGGATGAAAGCCAGGAGAAAGCAAGCAAGGCTACTCAAGCACCGGCTAATCTGTAGCCATCGAGTCGCAAAATGATCATAATCCCCTGAGGCATCCCTGAGTGTTTTTGGCTAAGTGGTTTGATGCCAATAAGTTGCAGATTTGTGTCAGGGAGGAATTTGTTCTGTTTTATCCACTGCTTAAGCTTTACCTACTCCAGGACCCTAGGAGGACAGGGATAATTTTATGCCTACAGCAGCTCCCTCCTTTCAGCAAGGAGAGACATAGGAATGCTAAAACCTCTGTCTAGACCTATGTCTCAACTTGTTGCTATCCAAAGGGCCAGGCCAACAAGACCAGCAGCAGGAAGAATAAGAAAACACTTTTTTTTTTTTTATTGAGGGGGAGTCACAACCAAAGCAGTAATGCTGTTCACAAAATTTTTAAATTTGGACCTCAACTCCAAGGTTTAGGTGTTATTGGACTTTAGTTTCTTAGAGAAAGTGAAAGGGAGACCATAGGTCTTCTCTAGAATTGGGAGAGGTATGTGACCTTATAGTTAGCCCTCTGGGACTGCAGTGCTGAGAGTATTGAATACCATGATTTTTGATTTCTTGGAGGTCACGTTTCCTCTTTCACCTCAGAGCAATTCCTTCTGACTCACTGAAGCCCCTAGCTTATTGTTCAAGCTGGAAAATGAGAATGATGTGAGATTTAGGGACCACTTGGATGTCTCCTTGACACAGCCTGTTCCCTTAATCTTTTTCACCTGGTTACCACAGGGGCAGTGAGCATCAGCCTTTCCTGCAGACTGGAGAAAGCTACCCAAAATATCCACCAGTGATTCACCACAGACAGACAGACAAACTGCAGCTGGGGTGCAATCCTGAACCATTGCATATAGCACTGTGCGAGCGGGTTTCACAGATGCTACAAGCAGCTGCGGCCCCTTGTGTGCCCCCATGGCTGCACAACAGGAGTTGGGGCGTGGACCCGGCCAGGGGCAGACAGATCTGCTTATCCTGGGCTGGAAACAGCCCACACAGTGCACAGGTACACATCCTTGTCTGGACATTTAATCCCAGAAATTTATGTCCGAGCGGTTCCCGTGCCTTGGGTTTTATCAGGAGCAGACAGACAAGCAGCTGCTGTTTTCACTGCCCGGTGACAGGAAATCCAAAGGGTCTGTTCTCTCTTGGTTTACACAGTGGTGAGTAGTTAACAGCAGGGGTGATCTGCACTGTTTCTTCCTCCTAAATGTTGCTCTTTTGGTGGTGTTCAGACTCCAACTGCAGTCTTTGCAGCATGGGTAGGGACAGAGAGGAGGTTTCTATGCACTTCTTGGCTCCACAGCAGGTCAAGTGGCAGGGTGACAGTGTTATCTCCCCCTGTGACAGAAGGTCACATTCCCACAGTGCTGCTAGTGGAAGCCACCAACTCTACAGGCTTCGCACAGTATTTTAGGGGGCTAACAAACTGGGAAACACAGCATTCTCTGTGCCTCCCCTCCCCTTGAGCTAGGCAGCAGGTCCTGTGCCAAGGCCCAGGTGAGCATGCTGCCACAGCAGCACTCAGACAGACGTCTTCACACGTGTGAAGGCGGAGGAACGTCAGAGCTGGTTACAGGCCCAGGGGAAAATGTTAGGGACAAAGCAGATGCTATGAGAAAAAAAACAGTCCAGAAGAAAGACTATTTTAAAATACTGCACGCTTGAACAGTAGCAGTGAAGCCAAAATAAGATGTCTTTATAAAAACAAAAGTCAGTGTGCAGACTGTGGGAAATACAAAGGGGTCATGAGAAATGCAAAAGGCCCAAACGCAGAGCAGCAGGAGCGAGTGACCACGGCCCAGCCCCCAGAAGCATGGCCAAAGCAGCGCTGGGACAGCGGGGCTGCCCATGGCATCCGTGACGCCAGCAGCCGGGCAGGGGCAGTGAGTGCCGTGCACCCCACTGGAGTTTTGCACCCCAGGGCAGAGCTGGTACCGGCTACTGTTTCTCAGCAGAGCAAGTGGCACATGGCTGATGCGCGGCACCAGATTAACCAGAGCTGCTGGCTGAGGTGCTTGCTGGGGTAAAACACCTGAGACAGGTCAAAAGAGAAAGGATTTTTCTCCTCCAGTACAATGTCAAAGGAGAATTGTGTCTTTCCAATGTGAGGAGGAGGTGTAATGGAGGGGTTTGTAGCATAACATATCCCTAATTTCCACAAGTGCAAGCAGCCTGAAGGGAGAGGCTGATGGCCTCAAGAGCCCCCGTAGAGCAGCTTCACCACCATGGGAGAGAGGGCCTTGGCCCGTCCCTGGGATGCTGGGGCAGTGCAGGCCCAGAGAACAGTACCAGGACAAGGAACAGTGCAGTGAGCTCTCAGCATAGCGTCCTCTGTGGCCCAGGGCCCCCGTTCCTCCCGTGCTGTTGTAACTCCTGCCTCTGTGCCAATGGCTTCCAGAACGCAGAGGAAAACTCTCGCATCTCAATCACCTTCTTCCGACTCTTCCGCGTGATGCGTCTTGTGAAGCTCCTGAGCCGAGGGGAGGGCATCCGGACGCTGCTTTGGACCTTCATCAAGTCCTTCCAGGTATTCATTTACTTATCTCTAAGTAAGACATAACAATTTTCTTTTCCCCTTGGTGGCCCCTTGGGGTGGGGTTTCACCCAAGTGCCTGAGCCCGAAGGTTGCTGGTCACCTGTGTGCACACCAGTGGCACGTTGGCACCAACAGGAGTCAAGTAAATGGGGCTCGCAGGGGATGACTGCCTGGATGTGAGTTTCATCATCAAAGCATGAGTAATTGCTTGAGACCTTCTTAAACAGCCTTGATAGATCAGTTCAACTCAGTTACTGCCTGTCTGTAACCCTTCAATCTCTTTTTTTCCTCTTTTAGCTGCATTTTATATCTGTTGCTCTAAATGAAACACACAGCTATGGGAAAGGCCTGGGACTCAATAATTAAGTTTGTTTTGAGGAGTTCCAGTGAGTATTGGAAGTGTGTGGCCCCCATGCTTTCATCCAGGAATAATTTCACCTTTTTGGCCCTACACCTTTGGCCCTGGTAATGATGGCAAGTTACTAAATTGCTGCTGCTTTTGTCCTGGAGGCAGATTGCATTTCAGTGGTAGGTAAAGTACCAGAGTAGATAGACGAAGGCGAAGGAGACCAGACTGGATAAGAATCAACACCTCTGAGGGAAAGCAAATGCCAAGAGATAGCTATTTGCTAGAAAAACTGCTTGCAAACCAGCCCCTATCCTATCCACAGATAGAAAAATGGTAGTTAGAGATGAAACATAGTATATTCCTGCTTTGTACAAGTACTTGACCTGGATTTACTGGGCCAGGACAAACTGGATGTTAGCTGGGGCAGGTCCAGAGTAAGTGCACAGCACAGGCATATAAATGGTGGTCTAAACCTGAGGAAAGATGCAAGTCACACCACTGGACAAAAGCATGAAAGACTAACTTTTGCAACACACAGCTCTTGAAACAACAGCCATGCATCCCTCAGGCTGAGGCTTTAAATGGTCAACAGCATTTGTAGACCCTCAAAGGGGAAAGGAGCTGATCCACACTTTAAAATGTAAACCTCACCAGCTACAATATGAGCTGGGACCAAAGCCTGCAGTGCTGTGGATCACGATGGCTTGTGTCTCTGTCAGCAGCAGTAGCACATGTGTACACCAGGGATCAATCTGGACCTTTCCTAGTGCAGCTCTCAGATGGTCTCAGTAGCCGGACCACCAGGCTCATGCAAAGGACTCTCATTTTGCACGCTTCTTGACTGCCAGAGGATCCAATATTGCATAGCAGTTTTCTGACATATCTGTACCAGAAGTGACTTTTTCCATTGCTTATGTGGTTGCTAACTTCCAGGTTGTTATTTGAGCGGCTCCAGTGGGAATCATTGTGTCTGCATGCACAGGAATGAGATTCCCTTGGCACAGCTCAGCCACCCCTGATGGAGGGGACAGTGTCACACTTTCCAGATCCTGCTTCTCCTCCCCTTCACCCTGTGCCCCTCCAGCCTCTTTAGCAATAGCTTGCTCTTATCCTGAGCTCAGCTTGCTACAGCTCTTGGCTGGAGGGGATGAAATGGATGGGAAAGGGAGTGCCTGATACTTCCCTCCAGTGACCTTCAGACCTCTTTGATTGGACAGTCACTTTTAGGCAGGGTTGTAGGGTGATGGGAGAAAGTATCAAGGGAGGTATCTTCCACAGGGTAAAAAAAAAAATCACTGCAAGCAAGTGCCTTTTCCCTTGAAAGTCTTTAGCCATTTATAACATGGTATTCTCTGCTCAGAGCTCCTCCCCTTGCAACCACTGGTAGGCTCCTTTGGTAGCTAAGAATAGTCCCTGTGCAGAGCACTTAACCATTCCCACTGCCAAAATCCGGGATCCCAGCAGACTTTATCTGGCACGGGTTCTTCTTCGTGTCCCTACATGTGTCTCTGCTTACACAGGGCAACCTAATAAGCAGCGAATTTGTGCTGGAGTTGAGAGTCCTTCGTAACTACCATGTGCCCTGCGCATGGTGCACGGTGCTCACATACAAGTTGGGGGCACCGGTCAGAGGAGCGTGTGGTGGGAAAGTGCTCAGCGGGGTTTCCGCCTGCAGAGATAGCAAGAGAGCCCAGGCTGGCCAGTGGGAGGAGTAGGAAGTGAGAGGGGTGCTGAGGGCAAGGAAGGTCGTGGGAATCACAAGGACAAAGTGGTAAAGCCAGGGAAGGATGGAGACAGAGGAGGACAGAGCCAGAAGAGTGCAATATGGGAGGTGGGGAGCTGAAGGAGCCATGGGGGATAAGGGGCAGAGATGAGTAGGAAGGTGCATCAGTGGAAAGCAGTAGGATGAGTGGAAGAACATGGAAAGAAAGTGGAGGGCCAGATGGCCAGGAGATAAGACACTTTTCCCATAACCATTTGAAAGATAGAAGAACTGACGAGGTTATGCACCTCAGGTCCTGTCTGGATACTATCCCAGGAGCTCTTGTTAGGTCTTATGTGTATTGAGTCCCAACTAGATCATCTCAAAATGTTTGGAGCCCAATTCTGAGCTGGTGTATCTACACTGACATTGTGGTATAACCATACAGATTTGTCTGACCCCATAAAACACAGAGGTATCTGCCTCTGAGCCTCAAGATGATGATTACAGACATTGTTTAAAGGTTTGAATTTTTTGCAGTTTTAATATTCAGATCTCTCTGAGATTATTCTGCAGATCTTAGTCAAATCTCTGTAGTGGTCAGAGAAATTTTTTCCTAAATTCTTCCTGTACGATTTAGCCCTGTTGATTTTAGGCACAAACTTAAAATGTGTAAATAATCTTATATTAAAAAATAATAATGTTGTAGGCTTTTTATACTCTGTGAAATGTGGTGTTCAAAATCCAGATTAGGGACTGTACTCACATTTTCAAGATGAATGTGTCTGCCCATTGCCTCTGAAGTCTGGAAATCTCTGGTATAAGTACTATAAATTTCAAAAGCAACTGAGTAGAAAATTCCTCCTCAAAAGCCTGAGCCTGCGAGGCCCTGAGCCGTGCCCTTGATTCCTGCCTGTGGTGGAGGAAACCGATCGCACTCAACACTTTGCTGATTGCGCTGGCCTCTTCCTTAGGAGGCAGCTCTGGGTATCAGGGCTCTGCATTTCCTCTTCAGCAGCTGATCACAGACACTCAGTGCATTGCAGACACCATCACAGACACCTAACACTGAACAGGGAATAGAGCTGATGCTTTAGGTACTTCAGATGGTACCGGCCATTGTAGCAGAAGCCTTGAATTTGGATCTTGCCAGCTGTTCCGTTTTTGGTTTCACCAGGCTGGATCCAGGAAAAAAATCACATTTCCATCAGCACCAGAGTAATACTGGTTATGAGAGTTTTCTCCTCTGGGTAAGCAGCTGGTTTTGCCCTTTCCTCAGTCCGTCAAGGGTTGGATTGACTTGAAGGCAGAAGAGCTACACCATCATGAGTGGGAGCAGAGTCAGAACCTGCCTGAGCTGGGGGGCAGCAGGGTGGTGGCGGGGAGGGAAAACGAATGTGGGCCTGTAGAGGCATCTAGTGGCCACCTGGCCAAATTACAGACGCCACGTTTGAGGGGAGCCTCTGCCCAGTTAGTTTCCCAAATCCAGGAGCAGGAACCGGGCAGGCTCCAGTGTGCCGGGCTCCGTGGAGACACAGTGCTCTCTCTTTTATTTTTGGTTTTTCTTCCCATTTCTAGGCTCTCCCCTATGTGGCTCTTCTAATAGTGATGTTGTTCTTCATCTACGCCGTGATCGGGATGCAAGTAAGTGACGCTAAAGAGCTCAACTGTGAATAAATGTCTTCTGTTAAGAGTTTTGGGAACTGACTTATAAAAGTAATTGGGTCAAGGTGTGGTGGTTGGGGCTTACAAGAATGTTTTTGCCCAGTAAGCAACTAACTGTGTTTGGAAAACATTGTCTGCATATGCACTTCCAACAGGAGCACAACACACTCCAGAAGAAAACCAAAACACAACTCATATAAAGGTAGATTGCAGTATGCAGACAGTGAAGGGACCATGCCTGCCCTCTATACTCTCAAAGGACAGCAGTGGCAAAGGAGACTTACTGCCTTGCTCTTTGGTTCAAGATAGTTGTTTCAGTAGGCTTATGGACATGCTGCAGGGAACAAACTCAATTTTTCTCTTGCATCACTTTCACACTGGTGTAACTTACACTGAGTTGTATGGAACAGCTTTTGATTTACACCTGTGAAGGTAAATATGGGGTCAGACCCAGTGTACTGATGCTGTGTTTGTGCCAGTTCTTCAAGAAGCTGCATCAATACAATATCCTATTCAGTCTGCAAAATGAATCTGGAAGTGGCCTGAGCATTCGTCTGTGCAAGGAGCCGATGCTGCATCCAGACCATTGAAGAAAGCATGTGATATAGGCACAGTCTGTGACAGTCCCAGCCTCATTTGCTGTGCTGCTTTTCAAACTAATCTTCCCTTTCCACTTCAGTGTTAATCAAAGATCTCAAGACAAGTCAGCCATCTGGGACCAGAGACCAAAGTATAGCAAGGCATGGCGTAATTGCTTCCAGAGGTCTTCAGACATGACAGGCTTCTTGGTTTCACAATGCCAACTGAACTTGTAACAAAATTCATCTGACCTCCATGACCTTGTTTTAATTTGTTTCCTGTTATTATAGTCACTTCTTTTCACAGACTTCATCTACCCTCCCCCAGTTTGAAAAATAAAATTAATCTTCTCTTTAATTATCATAGGTTATCTCAATTACCCCTAGTAATTACAGCGGTCATTTAGTCCACTCGGCTCATACTGCAAACTTGCTAGTTTTGCCTTTAATACTGAACTATCTCAAATTGTTAAAGTCTTAAGATCTTACAGGATTACCTGTGCTATACAGAAAATCACTAGAGAGTATTACACCAGTGTTACGTGGCTACACAAAGCCATTAAAAATGGCTTCCAAGCACTCACGCAGATGGGGTCTACAATAATCAGGGCACTGCCAGGGCGAGATATTTTGTTCTGTAATTCTGTTCCCTTTTTCTGTCAGCTAGTTCTAAGTCGACTATTTAATTCTTGGCTTACGTTCAAGCCTCTGTTTTAAACATCTCAGCAGCCTGAAGATCATACATCTGTCTTTCACATTGATCTAGATTACTAGATCATTTCCTGCCCTCCTGTCTTCTAATGAGACAACCAACTTTTCTCATCTTCTGTCTTTGCTTAGAGCTGTTATCATAACTTTTTGTCCAAATGACATTTTGTGTGCTGCTCTCTTGAACCTGCTGACACAGAGTTCCTCACAGAGTGAGGAAAATCCTTCCTCACTCCATTAAGCAGCTACCTTGAAAGACTAGATGTACCAGATCTGATGAAAATATAAGAATTTCCCATATAAAGGAGATCTACCACTTTGTCAGCTACTGCCCTGACTTGGAGCGTAACAACATTCAGGCCTCACTGCCTAATGTGCCCAAGTGGAAAAATCCACATTTATGCTGATGGATGTAGCCACTCGTATCATGGCCCAGAAGGCACAGACTGGAGAGGCCATGAGGGAGGAGCCTCTACCTACAGCTCCTCATAGGTTCCTAATGCAAAGCACTCGCAGTAGCTGCCACCAGTGCCTCATGTGTGAGGGAAGCTGTGGAGTCAAAAGGAAAATTAGACTTCCAGCATGGGAAGTTCCCTTTCCTATGCTTGCCTGAAATGAAAAATACAGGCTGTCTCAGCTCAAACTGCCTCTGAGCATTTAAACTGTCTTCCCGCTCCTCCTCGGTGCAGCTGCGGCTGTCACTGCTACCCACAGCGTGGGGACCGTCAGGGCTGGGGGAGGCCCACACACCCATGAGGAACCCCTGCTGAAAGGCTGCCATGCACAGACCCTCCCTCCCATCTGGCATGGCCTCCCTGCCATTGTGCCCGCGTTTCTCTCCATGTTGTTGTTTCTCTAGGGGTGTTAATTATCAGTGACATTTGCTTGAAAAGAAGCTCCATGTTCTCTCAGAGCTGCTCTGTTCCTGCTGCTCATTTTGGCTATGAGATTATAGCTCTCAGTCCTTGAGATCTCTGTCATGTTGCTATCGATGGGGACTGACTATGCTGTGCAGAGACCTTTCTGCCAGACAAGGTTTGTTAAGCTCTCAGTCCCACTGCCTGAAAGTACTAAACCTGTTTAAGACTTTTTCAAAGAAGCCTGAAACTCTTCTGCACTGGGGACTTCACATCCAAGGACAGGCACCTAGAAAGGTTTGCTGGTGGTTTCAGACTTCATCTGTGGCTGGATGAATGGTGCAGTGCACTGTTGGGCGTGGAAGGAAGCTGTAAGCCATCCTTGTCTGGGCAAATCTAGTCATCATCTTCACGCTGCTGCATTCTGAGGGGGGCCTGAAACACCTGCTGGTGACAAGCATGGCCACTGAAAGGGCAGGCATTTGGACAATCTCCAGATCCAAGTCAATGTACTTTACACTGTTTTGGGAAGATCCAAGGCACCCCACAGAGCTGGAAGCTCAAGGCTTTGCAGCTGCTGGTCTTTTGCGATCATTTCCTCCTGGTGAAGACAGATAAGCAATGAAGGAAAGAGCCTTTTCTTCTGTGTTATTGATTTCTTTCAGCTGGACCCCCTCCCCGTGTGAGTGCCTGTTGAAATAAGGCACCATATCCCATATTCGCAGTGTATGAAATAAGGAAGGATGTCTTGTTTTAACAAAAGATGCCTCTTGTTACAAAATGAGTGCTTTTCTGGTGATAAAGCACAAGCAAGGGAAGCAACAGCAAATATGAAATACCTGTGGAAACTATTTTTTGAGAGAAGAGCAGATTCTGTTATATATCAGGGTCAGAGCAAGGCCAAGGGCTACAGGTGACAAGAGATTTGGGGATTTTGCTGGGCTAACCTGAAAAGACCTCTGCTTTCTGCCAGGTGTTTGGTAAAATTGCGCTGAACGATACCACAGAAATCAACCGCAACAACAACTTCCAGACCTTCCCCCAGGCAGTGCTGCTGCTGTTCAGGTGAGTGTCTGACAGCTCTGGGTTGTGTCAGTCTGGGAGCACTATTCCTCTGTTCTTGGGCACAGCTTATCTCCTGCTACCATGTCGTGCTCACGAGGTGAGTAGAAACATGTTGTTCATAGCAGGGGAGCCTAGGAGTTACGTCAGATGAGACAACCAGTCCATTAAGCCCTGCACCCTGCTAGCTGACACTGGCCAACACTCAGTGCTGGGGTGGGAGGCAAGTCCTCCTACTCAGAAGGAAGGTAGCCAGTTATCAGTGCTCTCAAATGTTCATATGCATCACAAAGTCCTCCTTCCGTTCAAATCCAGCCAGTATGACTTCCAGCTTATTTCAGCAGGGAAAGGGACGTGAACTCCCACTCGTGCTCTGGCATGGCCATGCCCTGCTCAGCACATCATCCTGCTCCAGCTGTGGCCAGGTGTGCCAGCCACAGAGGGTTGCTGAAGGGGTGGAGAGTTAGCACAAATGCAACACACTCTCCTCATTTTCAGGGAGCTTTTTCATGCAATCCGTAGCCATGTCACATACACCTCGATGACTCTGGCTGGTCAGAGCATGACAGCCCCATACACAGTCAGTCAGGAGCAGCACACTGATGATGGCAACAAAGCTAAAAAGAGGAGCAGGGTATGACAGTGTATGTCAAAGCCCAACCGTTGGCCTAACTTGCTCTTAATTGACCTCAGTGGCAAAATTCCCATTAACATTCAAGGGAGCAGGAACAGGTTGCTAATGTGCCAGTTCCTCTGACATTGAAGGTCACTGCTGTCTTCCCTTGCCTTCTGCTGTGCCCAGGTGTGCCACAGGTGAGGCCTGGCAGGAAATCATGCTGGCATGTCTCCCAGACAAGAAGTGCGACCCAGAGTCGGAGCCGGCCAACTCCACCGAAGCCGATCACTCCTGTGGCAGCAGCTTTGCTGTCTTCTACTTCATCAGCTTCTACATGCTCTGTGCCTTCCTGGTGAGTCTGCCCCAGCAACAGAAACCTGCTCTCTGTCAGACCAAGCCTCTGCCTCCCCAGATATCAGCACTGCCCAGCAGAAGAATGATCTCAAAGAAAGGAAATCTCCCCATGGGTCTGCACCCTTTCAGTGACTAAGCCCCCTTGGTCACTGCCATTCCTGCCACCCTCCAGCTCTGGGTGTTGCTCTGCTTCCAATCCCAATCCTTTGTGCACAGCAAAGGAGTGCTCTTCCCCCCCCACCCCAATGAGAAAACCAAATTAGTGTGTAGTGGGCTGTGCTGAGGCTAGCAACGCCTCAGCCACACTTCCCACCTTCCCTCCTACCTTCCTTCTGGCTGGTGAGCAGGTTTTTCCTCCCCTGCCAGCAGCAATGACTGTGAGAATACACATATCCCACTTGCATCTGCTCCGAGTTGGCAATGCAGCATTGCTCAGAGCACATGCTCTGCAGCTGGCATCAGTGTGCAAAACTGCCAGTGAACAGCAGCAACATTTTGAAAGTTTTGGTCTTGGCCCAGAAGAAAGGACCTTTATCTCAGCCCCACTTCCTATAGAGGATAAATCCCAGGTTCTCCCACCATGACCCTGTTCTGCTGGGCTAAGGCACAGGTAAATAAAAAGCCATCACAGCATGTCGAAGCATTCCCCAACCTTGGGCCTCATCCATTCAATAGGGAAAAGAAAAAATGTGACCAGCTGAGAATATCCCTCCTCTGGCATCTTCCCATTGAAACTGGGGGGCTGGCAGAGGGGAACAGAGAACCCAAGCCCAGTGGCTCCCTAGTTTTATGAGTCTAAATCCAGACCTTAAATGGAGAAGCCAGCAAAGTCTACTGTTATCTGCCTCATCCATAAAGTCATCTCTGTCTTTGTTTGCAGATCATCAATCTTTTTGTAGCTGTTATAATGGATAACTTTGATTACCTGACACGGGACTGGTCCATTTTAGGACCACACCATCTGGATGAGTTTAAAAGGATCTGGGCAGAGTATGATCCTGAAGCCAAGTAAGTAACCCAGCATGGATATCAGAGCTCCTCGGGAGAACGGGCCCCTTATTTTCTGTTCTCTAGAGCCAGCACCGTAAGTGCCATGTTCTGCCTGCAGGAACACTTTTTTTCTGCAACAATCCTGAAATAGATACCTCCACAAGGTATTGCTGGTGAGTCCATAAGTCAGCAGTGCAAAGCTGCACACAAAAATCTTAGCATTTATGCTGCATTGTTACCCAGCAGGACATTGCTTCACTTTCAGTTGGGGGGAGATAGAGACTGTTTAGAGAGAGGCAGCAGGAGATTGAGCAAAGGAGGTTAGAGAGTTGGTTTGTTGTTGAATGTGTCTAGGGTGTTTAGCTGTGACTCTTCTATTTTACTTTCTACTCACGGTAGAGCTGCTGTGCTCAAAACTCCATTTTGTCATGTATCATATAGGCCCATCACAACCTGTACCTTCACATGGCTGCGTTACGTTGTCTGCAAGGTTATTCACATCAGCAAACTTGCGGGGATTTAAAGTTACACAAGAACAACTCGCACAAGGGCTTAACTGACATTCAGTATTATATGCTCTGTTTGACACATGCTTAGGCTTAAATTGCACTTAGATCCCTGTGGCAGGACAGTACAGTTGACAGTTGTAATTGTAAAGCCCCCTTCATAATGCAAAAACTGTGGAAAGAGATCTTGGTGTAAACTAACAGCAGATCTCTTTAGGAGACACAGTGTCAAGATTAATTTGGGCTCAGGTTGTGCAATATGTGAGGCCATGTCACATTATCAGAGTGACACACATTGAAACTCTTCTTCCCATCCATAGTGACTCTGCCAGAGAGACTTTTAATATGGATATGGCTTAAGCATAGAATTCTAATAGACTGTCTGTTAACAAAACAGATGCTACTGTAGATTCTTCTTAAATCTACTGTTTGTGCCTCTTTGAAGGCAAGACTGCGGTGGCTAAAGCCGTATACTAGATAGTCATTCAGTCCAGGTGACATACTGTTCCTTTCCATTTACAAATGGGAAGCTCTCTTCCCCCATCCATGTCCCATACTTGAAGCCCCATCTCTGGCATCCTCCATGAGATAATTCTTCTTTTGAGGTGCCATTTATGGAAAAGAACCCCATCTGCTGCTGTGGAGGAAACTCAGTTCTTTCTTTGGCGCTGGCTCCTGTGGCAGCCCAAAGCATAAACAAGTATCAAAAGACAGTGAGTGGCTTGGGACTATTTATATGGAAGACAAAGCACCAGGAAAAAAGAGACCGTTTGCACCTCTGTGCCTGCTATAGCTGTAATAGGGACAGGTAAACAAGCAGCTGTAGATTTTGAGCAGGTCCGGGTGGGGAGGCAACCCCAAACTGTCCATTCATACACTGAGGAACTGCAGCATTCAACACACTGAAGTCAATTATTGGAAGTATTGACTCGTGTGTGACTGACAGCTGTTTTTTTCTGTACTAGCAGGAGTTACACGAGTGCTGGGCAAATCCTGAGGAATGCACCGAGGCCTGAAATAATGTCTTTAGCCATGCCCAGGCTACGGGGAGGGGCTGGAAAGGTTTCAGCGATGCTTCTAGCTGCATTCGTGCTCTGCAAGGGGGATCAACCTCTTGTCCCCTGGTAAGGATGCGACCCTGCCTTTGCTTTCTCTTTTAGGGGACGGATCAAACATCTGGACGTGGTGACCCTGCTCCGGCGGATTCAGCCCCCCCTGGGCTTCGGAAAGCTCTGCCCTCACCGGGTGGCTTGCAAAGTAAGGCACGCTGCGGCTCGGGGAAGGCTGGGGACTCACAAGCAGCTAAAGATCCCGCTGTGGCGGGCATTTTCTAGCTAAGCGGGCGCCCCTCACTTCGCGGGCCGCCGGGCGGGAGCTGC